AAAACACATAATTTTTGAAAACATTTATTATATTTTAAATAAGATATTGTCACTTTTGTGAATTTGTTATTAATAATTTCTTTTTTTTTTCTCAATGAATTATATATATTAATTTAAAAATCCATTTTTGTTATCATCATCACATACAATGTAATTTTTTTTATATAAACAAACGATAATAAACAACAACAACAACAATGTAATTTGCATCTTCATAATTATAAACAACAAATTAAATTAACAATGTAAAAATATATTTTAACAATACATTTTAACATTTAACACAAAAACGTTACAATAATTTCTTTAAATATATATTAATATTAAAATGCCAAGTTTTTTTTTACGTCATTGGAATATTATATTACTAAATTCTCAAATTAAATTTATTATACTTGGAACACATTTTAAGCGTTGTTACAATTTATAAATATAATTCACCAGAAACCGCGAGAGGCGCTGCTTGCGAGTGAGAGTAGAAATTTGCAAATAAAAGTGCAAAGAATATTTATTTCAAATCAAATTCAAACCAGAAACCTTCCCAGTAGTATAATAAATAACTTCCTAAAGTTTCACGGCGATTGGATAATCTTACATTTTAAAAACATTCAACGTGTGAACAAACTAAAATTAATGTGTAAACAAACCACGTGTAAATTATTAACCAATCAAATTCATTTATCGTCGCGACCAGTGCTGCGCCCAAGCGGTAAAAGGCTGGAACTAATGCTTTTTGGTTTTTCATTTTTTAAAAATAGCACATTAGCCTTTTTAGTTTTTTGAATAGCCTATATGTTAAACGAAATCTTCAGCTACCTACATGCGAAATTTCATATTAATTTATTCTGTAGATTTTGCGCAACGCAATAACAAACATCGATTTTGGATATCATTTTTATAAATATAAGGATATTAATATTAGATAACCTGATCTGGTAGCTAGTAGTATTAAAAATAACTATTAAATTGTATTCTCTGTTTGGAATATTTAATCACAAAATGTGATTCTCTATTGGTATTTCAGAACATACGACAGGCAAGTCTATTGGGACCCAGTTGATCAGCCCACGCCTTCCTGGATGATGAGCTTCTCACCATACTACTAGCTGCCGTAAGTATTGTGTTGAAGTGAACATCACTTCATATATAGCTGAATCAGATATTCCTACAACATCTATGTTTTGTATGCATATATTTGTGTGTATGCGTACGTGAGTATCATTTTATTTCTGTGTATGAGTGTTAAAACTATTATAAATTGATAAAAAATATAGCATTATATAATGAAGGTTTTTCAAATTAGCCTAAGGCTTGTTATGAGAGGGTAACACGCTCGATTCTCGACAGTCATGAACCGGGAATGAATCTCGCGTTAAAATTTTGTTTAATATGTGAATTACCTTCACATATTATTCAATTTTTCAATTATCATGAACTAGGTTGCTCTTGCTGAGCGGTACCTATTAATGTGATTTGAACAAAGGCTTGTTATTATGAAATTAAATTACATTTGTAAAGAATAAAAATAGATAGATAAAAACTACCCATTCTGTCAAAAATAGGTTATTTTATTTATATAAATATAAAACTAAAAAGATCAATATTTATAATATTGCAAAAATATAAGCATATGAATAATTCGAAAATCTATGATTTTTTTCATATCCATGAGGTAAATAAAGTCAGTATAAAATATTCAATCTCTTAATTCCCAAATTACCTAACTTAATTAATAAATATTTTTACAGATGCTCCCACTGCAAACGGCCATGCAGGGGGTAAATGCCATGTCACAAATAAGTTAAATTAACAGTTCCTTTGTCTCACCATGTTTACCTGGAAATGTGTACATCTCAATTAGGAATATGTTCAACAGTCACGCCATATCAACCCTAAAATATATCCATCTGTACTACATGTTTTATCCTGAAATTTGTTCTTTTTTTTCACATCATTTCAACCTGAAATATATTCATCTATCAGACAGATCTTAACCCGAAATATTTTCTTATTTCTCACAACTCTTTAGTCCAAAAATAAATCTAACAATAAAACAGTTTCAACATAGGATTTGTTCCTTTTCCCGCCATATTGGCATTGAAATATTTTAATATATCATACCTTTCTCATCATGTAATATGTTTTCACCAGATTCACCATTTTAACTCAGTAATATATTTATTTGTTCTACAATTTCCAATCGGGAATATATTCCTCTGTCCACACAACCATTTTAACCAATTTATATTGCAATTCTCAAAGTACTGTTTGTTCCTATATCCAACCATTTTAAGCCAGAAATATTTCTCTCCGTGATCTACATCATTCTTAATATAAAACATGGTCTGTTGTCCTGTTGTTCTAACATTGTAATGTATTATCGCAGTCCCTATGAAGCCAAGGCAGAGTAAGTTACCCCACTTGGTATTGTCCTCACAGATATACTGACATGGTGATGGTGTCCAGATCAATGGCCGACGACGCTCCACTCACCAAAGGCCGAGGAGGACGCCCAGTTGGAGTAAGTGACTTACTTTACTCTGAATTTTCAAAACTCACAACTTGTGTCCAGGATGGCCCTGACCAACCCACCACAGAAGAGCAGCGATGAGGAGGAATAAGAGGTAAGTATCTCTACAACAGTTACAACATTTTCAATTCTCTGAAGTTTTAAATTATAATACGTCAACACTTTATTACTTAGGTTGTATAGAACCGATTCGTAAATATATATTAGCACTAGAGAGTAGACCAGAATCTATTTAGTCATCTCCTTTAAACGTGGCCTGGGACTAACTACGAAATTGCCGCCCCCATGTCCCAGAATCAGTTTTCCATCGCACACATCAGGTATATATTAAGGTTTAAAATAGGTCTATATAGTGAAATGGAACCATTTACAATTATTCAACTTTACACTCATAGGATACAACGTGTGATCAAAAATTTCCAGGAATGAGACTGGATCACGTAAAATATTCAAAATAATGAAATAATTTTATAAAGACCTTATAGATAAAACATTTATCAACATGTAGAAAAATAGATCACACAGACGCACGCGCTCGCGTTTTTTCGAATTTATAAGCTCGAGTATATCAGAACATTTTCTAACTTCAGAATGGACCGTTTTGAAAAACAGCAAGTCTGCTTAGAGTTTTTCTTTAAATTAGAGAAATAGCTTCCGAATCATTTCAAATGTTGAAGCAGGCTTTTAAAGAAGATTCCCTATCACAATCGAGGACATTTGAATGGTTTTCACCATTTAAAGCTGGGCGAACAATGTCGAAGATTCAAGAAACAAAGATGATCAAATCGAAACTTAAGTGTCTTCTTATCACTTTCTTTGATGTAAAGGGATTGGCACACTATGAATTAGTGCCCGAGGACCAGACCATTAATCAACATTGCTAGCTCGATGTATTGCGACGTTTAAGGGAGGCTGTGCGTCAGAAACGACCCAAAAAATGCCATCAGAAAAATTGGCTCTTGCATCATGACAACGCAAGACTACATACGGCCGTCACTGTACAACTCTATTTGGCTAAACACGGGATTTCTTTACAACCCCAGCCACCCTATTCTCCTGTCCTTGCTCCCAATGACTTTTTCCTTTAGTCTAAAATTCAAAAAGTCTTAAAGGGACGTCGATATTGCTCAATACCTGAAATAAAGGAGAATACGAAGTAATTTTGAAAAGTCTGAAAGATGAGGATTATCAGAGGTGTTTTGGTATCTGGAAAAAAAGATGGAACAAGTGTATAGATAGTGACGGTGATTATTTTGAGAAATTTTAAATAAAATTTTATTATACTTTAGAATTTCTTTAAATATTTAGCATTCCTGGAAATTATTGATCACACTATGTATATATATATATATATTTTTATATATGTTATTATAATAGAAATATATTTGAAAATTTTAATACCAGAATAATTCATGAATGCCTCTATAAAATACATTTGATTTAAAAAATATATATATTATGATAAATATTAAATATTATCTTAACAAAAAAAAAAAGAAGACCTATTTCTTCTGGTGTTTTTGCCAATCCGTGCCTGTAACATTACAGAGTTATTCGGTAGATGGCGCCAGGGTTTTGCGCCTATTTCAACTATTGAGGAGTCCCCTTTTTTTAATATACCTCTTTCCTTCATAGAGAATTTTAATCACTTAATTTTATAGTCAATACTATATTATATCTAATATAAAATACTTATTAAGAACACAATAGGCGCAATATATCAATACAATAGGCGTGTTTTCACTGAAATATGTATAACTTTTGGTGTATTTTTCTAGGCCTGATTCTTCGAATTGTTGGTTTGAAAAGAGTTATTTCTAGTCTCTAGAAATAGCGTTCTTTATTTTCTTTTGAGTAAACCTTCCTAGTTCCTTTTTGAGTAACTTTAAATAAATTCAAAATACACTTTTTATCGATACTGTGGTTTGTACTATATTCCACAACTTATATACGTATTTATAATATCTAGCAGTGAAATGGTGAAAAGTATTTTCCACCATCTTCTATCCATTATTACGAACATAATGTCTTTATAGAATATTTATAAATCACTCATATACGATCGAAAGCCATTTATACTAGCTAAATATGGTATTCATGTATTTCTATACGTTCTTTACAGAAACTTCATTCACTACTACATAATATTTTTATCTCAGTGGTACATGGAACCATATCATACGAATGATCACACCTACTTTCGCATAATCTTTTCAAAAAAGACTATCTTAGCTATAAATCAATAAAATACGAACTGAAAAATCTAAATTTACAAAGGAAAATATTTACAACAATAATTGGTGAATAATATTCAAATATAAACAATACTTAAAGTTACACCGCATAAGTTTCTTTTTTGTGAAAAATCAATATTTATTTCAAAGAGAAATATTTACTATTTCTAACTTTTTTGAATGAAGTATGAGAGGGTGAAAATATGAAGAGTAATGGCGAACGGAAAAATAAAAGTGTCCAGGGGCGGGAATCGAACCCACAACCTTCTGCTTACCGGGCAGGTGCCATGTCCTCGAGGCTACCCTGGACGTATTCCTCCGTTCGTAAATGATATTTAAAGCAACCATTAAATATTATTTACGAACGGAGGAATAGGTCCAGGGTAACCTAGTGGACATGGCACCTGCCCGGTAAGCAGAAGGTTGTGGGTTCGATTCCCGCCCCTGGACACTTTTATTTTTCCATTCGCCATTACTCTTCATATTTTCACCCTCTCATACTTCATTCAAAAAAGTTAGAAATAGTAAATATTTCTCTTTGAAATAAATATTGATTTTTCACAAAAAAGAAACTTATGCGGTGTAACTTTAAGTATTGTTTATAATCACTCGCCGCAGTCCTTTATAATATTCAAATAATATTTCAAATATTTCAATATCGCGTCTGGTTGATTAAAAAATAAATAAAAATGAATAAACAATGTCTTTATAGAATATTAAAGATGATTTTTTCATCATAAATTTTCTCTCCGAATTTACACAATTGTCTATTTCTCTAGACGTCCTACTCCTCTCCCTCCCCAAGGAACTTCTCCAGCCTGACATAATTGTCCATTATGTTGAATTCCTTGTGGAAGGCATTAAACCTCCGAACACCCCGAGCTACGAGACATCAAATTATTTCAATAGCCGATTTTAACCATTCATAATTATATTATCTCAGGTGAGTTAACTATTCAATTCAACATAGTCATTGCTAATGAACGAAAAATTTAAATAGAGTTTGAATTAAGGTATTCCAAAATTGAAAGTGCGAGATATCAGTATCTATATATGTATTTTTATACATTTGATTATGTTATATAAATTTGAGAACTGTTGTTACAGATATGCATATTTCTGGGTTAAATTGTTGGTATTAAGAATAAAGGTTCGCACTGACAAAGGTATGACGGATGGATGAATTTGGGGTGGAAATGTTGGGACCAAAGAGGCCATTCTTGACTGAGAATTGCAGTATAGATGGATAGAAAATTTAAAACAATTGCATTTACTGACAATGTGTTTCTATGTTATATGTGTATTGTGCGTTTGAAACACACCATGAGTTATATTAGTTTTTTGAACTTAAAGTTTAGAGAGATTTAAAACCTTTTCTCTTCCATCTGTACTTCCAAATTTACTGCATCGTACATTATTAATATATGGATTTTTTTCTTGTCTTCCATCATTTTAGCCTTAATATATTTTAATTTGTCATACAATCCTATACACCGATTATGTTCTTCAGGTTCGACATTTTATCTCAGTAATATGTCCATTCGTGTGTGTGTTCTATTATTTTCAATCTGGAATAAGTTCCTCTGTTCACACACAACCATTTAGAATATTTTATAATGCGATTCTCAAAATACTGTTTGTTACTATGTTCCACCATTTTAACTCTGAAATATTTCTATCCGTGTTCTACCCCATTTATATTATAGAACATGCCTGTTTTTCTAACCTTGGAATGTGTTGACGCAGTCCCAATGGAGGCAAGGCCGAGTAAGTTACCACACTTGGTATTGTCCCCACAGATATACTGACATGGTGATGGTGTCCAGATCTATGGCTGACGACGCTCTACTCACCAAGGAGGAGGAGGATGCCCAACTTGAGTAAGTGGATTACTTTACTCTGAATGTTCAAAACTCACACCTTGTGTCCAGGATGGCTCTAACGCTCTCCAAACTGACCAATCCTCCTCAGGAGGACAGCGATGAGGAAGATTAAGAGGTAAGTATCTCTAATATATTTGATTTTTGTAGTTTTAAATTATAACATGTCAACACTTAATTAAGTTATACAAACAGATTCATAAATAAATATATTACCGCTAGAGAACAGACAAGAATCTATTTGATCATGTCCTTTAAACGTTGCCTGGGACTAACTAGGAAAATGACGCCCCTATGTTACAGAATCAGTTTTCCATCGCACACATCAGGTATATATTAATCTTTAAAATAGGTCTATATTGTGAAATGAAGCCATTTACACCTATTCAACTTTACACTTATAGAAAATATCTTAAAATGTCATTTTAATACAAATATATTTGAGTAAATTAAATTCAATTGCCATCTATCGTTAAAATTTTACACAAATAAATTTACTGGCAATGCGTTTCTTTTAAATATCATCAAATATTATCTCTACAGATGAGCCAAGACCTTTCATTCGATAACTCATATCATTGCAGTAAGGTCTGTAGAGATAATATTTGATGATATTTAAAAGAAACGCATTGCCAGCAAATTTATTTGTGTAAAGTTTTAACAGATATATATTTAAAAATCCTAATATCCGAATAATTCATAAAAGCCACTATAAAATAAATTTGATTTTAAAAACAAAAAATAAAATGAAAATATTAAATATTATGATGCATTAACGCGCTATCTGTTATGAGGCAATTTCTACTGCAATGTTAAGGGTAGTAGATATTCTTCAATTTTTAAAAGAATCATACACCTCTATAATAGTTTCGAATTTTCATTAAATATTATCTTAAGAAAAAAGAAGAAGAATAGTTTTTCTGTTGGTGTTTTTGGCAATCCGAGCCTGTCTCATTACAGAGTTGTTAGGTAGATGGCGCCAGGGTTTTGCGCCTATTTTAACTATAGATAAGCCCTTTTTTTAATATACCTCTTTCCTCCATAAAGAATTTTAATCATTTATGTTTATATCCAATACTATATTATATTCGATGTGAAAATACCTATTAAGAACACAATAGGCGCAATATATTATTCTACGAATCTCTTTTTCTTTCACGATTTGGTTCTACCTTATAGGGATAGTAATTTTTCTAGGCCTGATTCTTTGAATTGTTGGTTTGAAGAAAGAGATCTTCAGTCTCTATAAATAGCCTTTTTATTTTTTTCTTGAATGAAATATCCTATTGATTTCAAAATACACTTTTTATCGATCCTTCGGCTTATATTATATTCCCCAACTTATATATACATCATATCTAGCAGTAAAATGGTAAAGAGTATTTTCCACCATATTCTACCCATTATTACGAACATGACGACTTTATAGATTATTTAAAAATCACTCATACGATCGAAAGCCAATTATGCCAGCTAAATATGGTAATCATGTATTTCTATACGTTTTTTACAGAAACTTCATTCACTACAACATAATATTCTTATCACAGTGGTACATGGAAATCGAACCATATCATACAAATGTTCACATCTCCTTTCGCATACACCTTTCATAAAAGACTATCTTAACTATAAATCATAAAATGCGAACTGAAAAAACAAAATTTACCAAGAAAAATATTTACAACAATTTTTGGCAAAGAAAAAGCTTTTATTATTATTCATTTGTATCAATCCATTTATAATGTTTAATTATACAATTCGCACTATTTTTTCCAAACGGAATTCCTATGCAGTTCCATCCAAAATTTATAGTCACTCAAATTGTCACATCAAACGGAAAATTACAGAAATACTTACGTAAAAGAGGTCTATCACAAACACCAAATTGTTCCTACGGAAAACTAAACAAACTGCTCTTCACCTTATCTACGACTGTTCGAACTTTACAGAAGTGAGACATCGATTATTCCTTGATCTAAATGATCTAACTCTCTTACACATCAGTCACTTTGTCTATATATACTTTATGAACTCTGTCAATTAATACATGTGTAAATTTGTACATATTTAATTCTAAGTTCTAATTTGTCTTTTGTTTTGTTTGTTTCCTCTGTATTAGACGTAAATATTTCAATATCACGCCTGGTTAATTAATCAATAAATAATGTTAGAAACTATTTTAGACGCGTAAGATTATTTTTTGAAAATTAAACAAATATATTGGCCTTACTTCAATGGAAAAATTAATGTGTGGAGGGCTTAATTACCTCGCAGTAAGGGCAGTAGAATTGTTTATTTTTCAAAAAAGAATCTTACGCGTCTATAATAGTTTCGAATTTTCATAACAAATAGCGCTATTACATCAAATTAAATGATGTCTTCATAGAAAATTAGAGATACATTTTTTATCATAATTTTTCTATCCGAAATTTACCCAATTGTCTATTTCTCTAGACGTCCTACTCCTTCCCCTTCCCAAGGAACTTCTCCAGCCTGACATAATTCTCCATTATGTTGAATTCAATGTGGAAGACATCAAACCTACAAACACCCAGAGCTACCGGACAACAAATAATTGCAATTGCTATTTCAACCATTCTTCATTATATTATCTCAGGTTATTTACCTTATTGAATTCATCTTTGGCATTGCTTATAAACGAAATATATTAATAGAGTTTGAATTAAGGTGAATTAAGAAAGTGTGAGATCTTAGTAACTATCTATTTTTTTTCTAATATATTTAATTATTTTGACCAGCATGTGATATGTCACTAGCATATTTTAATATATTAAAAATAAAGAAGGGGCATATATCCTGACCATGAGCACATGTGGCGTTCTGCCATCTAAAAAACACATGTGCTCGTGGTCAGGATATGCCTTCTTTATTTTCAATATCAACATCTGACTCACTTATATTTTATTCTATTCTACTGTATTTTCTTATTTATATATGTGCGTGTGTATTTGTGTAAATGATTATGAAATTAAATTTAATTATTATCTCTAGTATACATGGTACAGGCCATGATAATCATGGTAGGTTTTTGCACTTACAAATGTGCTAGAGTTCCGTTTTGTTACTTGAACTCGCTGATGCGATTGTAATTTTGCAAAAGTCAGAGGAGATTGAATCATTTTTGTTTAAATCATAAAAAAGTGCCCAATTCGGGATTCGATCCCGGGTCGTATCGGTCGAAAACCAACGGTTTAGATCAGCCCTGGCCAACCTAAATGACGCCACTGGCAGCACGGATTCGTAAACAAGGTCTAAAAACTTTATTAAAATTTTAACTTTAAAATGTGTTAAAATATTTTAAATAAAAATTATTATAATTAAATCAATATATTTTCTGTTTTTGATATACAGACGAGAAATGAAAGTTACAAAAGTAGTACAAAAGTATATTCCCTCTTTTGAAAT